GGGGTCGTGTGCATAGGGAGGGGGCGTGTGCAAAGGGTGGGGTGAATGAAACGGCTCTACGCAAACGGGTGGGGCGTGTGCAAGGGGGCGTGGCTGTGCACAGGATGTGCCTGTAGGGGCGGGGCCGTGTGCAAAGGGGGCGGGGCTCAACGAGTTCAATCGGGCAGGGCCACGTGGAGAGGGTGGGGCTGAGGGCAGTGAGCATGTCCGGGCCGTGGGAATTGGGGTGGGGCTTTGTGCAAGGGGGCGGGGCCGTGTGCAGTGGGGTGGGGCTTTGTGCAAGGGGGCGGGGCCCTGTGCAGCGGGGCACACCCGCGCCGTGCCGGGAGGACGGGGTGTCACCTTGCAGGCCCTTGGTGGCGAAGTGCAGGTCGATGGGGTGGCACCAATAGGCCACGTCCCCGGCCTGGGGGGAGTCCACCTGCGTCTGCCCCTCCCGGCGCCCCCCCAGCAGCTTCCAGGCGCTCCCTGCATGGGGGGACGGCAGCGCTGCGGCACACGTGCGTGCGTGTTGCGTGTGCGCTCCGTGTGTGTGCATGCTGCTGCACGTGTGTGCATGCGCTGTGTTTGTGTGCTCCATCTGCGTGCATGCTGCAGCATGTGTGTGCATGCCAGTGTACATGCTTCCTGCTGCATGCATGCGTATGCTGTGTGTTCCTGCATGTTGTTGCACRTGTGTGTGCTCCGTGTGTGTGCATGCTGCAGCATGCATGTGCGTCCTCCATATGTGCTCACAGTCCATGTGTCTTTGCTCCTGCATGCGTGCATGCTCTGTTGGGTGTTTGCTCCTGCACACATATGCACTGCACGCRTGTGCCTGTAGTCTCAGCGCTTGCACGTGTTCCCGCTTGCTCTTGCACGCACGTGTGCCGCCCCGCACRCTCACCTGTGTGCACGTCCCACTTGCAGAAGAGGCCGTCGCTCTGCTCGAAGCCGCTGGCGCCCACGATCTGCCCGATGACGTGCAGCTCCGCCATGGCCTGCGGTGGCAGGCGCACGTCTGCGCCTTGCACCCCCGCGCCTTGCACGCCGGCCGCTTGCACACGTGCAGCCCCGGGCAGTGCCCGCCCCTTGCACGCCGGGCCCCGCCCCCTTGCACGCGGCAGGCCCGCGCACGCGCAGTGCTGCGCGCCGCCCCCGCCCCGCGCATGCGCGCTGCACTCCTCTCCCGCCGTCTCCTC